TTCTTCTTCTACCGATTAGTTCTCTAGTTGATTATCCTAAACATGAATATTTTAAGTGCAAGAGAATAATTTGCATAATATAAAGGAAATTAGGCTAGCATCATACAATTCTAAGATTCCTACAAGAATTAATTTCACATCTTTAGAAATAAAAACAATAAAAAAAGAACTAATTACAAAATTAAAAAGAAAATAAAAATCTAAACTATGAACAAGAAATAAATCTAACTACAAAGAATTAAAATCTAAACTATAAAATAAATTACAAAAATTAAATGCAAGAAAATAAATCTACTCTACAAAATAAAGTGCAAAAAGAAATAAAAAGACAAGGAAATAAATCTACACTATAAGCATGAATGTAAATCTAACTAATATGCAATAATAAAGAAATTACTAAAAAAATAAAAGAGAAAAATAAAAGAAATACAAACCTTCAAATTGCTCTTCATCTCCATCCTCATCATTCAGCAAAGAGGAGAAAAGACAAATTTAAAGTGGAGAAAAAATATTATTATTATTAATTGCAACAAAAAATTATAATTTTTGGAAGGCCTTCTTAATTAAGAGTAGCTCTCCTCTCCAAATGGAGTTACAAAATTTTTCACACTCTCAACCCCTCACTCTCTACCCCTATTTATAGTAAACATCAATGAATGTGAGCCATTGGATTAGACTTGAGCCCAAATGAATCATTTTTAGCCTTTGAGTTTGGGCTTGGATTCTTGGGCCTTGCTTCATTTCTTTTCACAATTCATATAGGAATGGAACAAATAAGAGCTGGCATCTTGTAGTCATTTCCAACCTGGACCAATTTGGGACATTTGGGTTTTTGGCCTTCAAAATTCATATATTTCACTTGAGTTAGCATGTGCTGGATTTCTTGCTGGGCTTCCATGGGCTTTTCATAATTAGCTTCTTGGACTTTTGGATTCGCAGGGAGTGAGTCTGAGACATGTAATCACAAATTATTTGAGATCTTTAGAGAGTTGGCTTGATTTTTCTCTTGGGCTTCTTTGCTTCATGGGCTTTATTGAGAGAAGAGAGTTTTGAGATTTATTCTTCATTAACATGTAATTAAAGATAAAAATAATTATTAGTGATATATTTATTCATATAAAATAGATAATGCGGGTATAAAACTATAATAAAATATGATTATTAGGACCCAGATGACCAGTTAAAACATGAAAACCCAAATCCATTAAAAACTTATTTTTTTTCTTCAACATATCTCATTTTTGCTCTAACTCACTTTCAACGACTCTTTCTCCTCTTAATCTTATAAAAACTCTAAGAGAACTTTATCTAAACTATCTCCATCCGTTTTTTTTAGTTATTAAATCTCATTTAGTTCCTATTAAATTCATTAATGATGTTTGCATGCTCAAGTTCATCCTTAAATAAAGCCAAGAGTAGTGGAGGTCATCGAATCTGCTAGCATAAAGAATAAAAGAAAATAAAATTTAAAATTAACATAGAATTCCTAATTAATTGAAAATGGTTATGATAAGTTTTGGTATATCATTAGCAAGATCAATTTGGTTACATGTTCGTAACATGTATAACTAAAAATGATCACCTCATTGGTCTCTCACTATTTTCTCATCATTTTCTTTATACTAATCAAAGTCGAAGCCAAAAACTCACGAATACTTATCGAATATCAAAGTATATTTATTCCGCTAAAGAATTTAATTTTCAAGTAGTATTAAAATTCATAAATAAAAATTATTCCTTTATACTATATGATGTGTATATATTTAAATCAAAATTTAATTAGAAAACATATTTAAGATTATTTAAGCCTTAAAATCGGTATATAAAACTTAAGTAGAAATGGTAAGTAGTTAAAAATACGACATCATATACGCAATAATACAAATAATAACATGTGATCACTTTTAAACGAATATTTAATAGACAAACGAATCGAATATATATCTGGTCAAATTCTAATAGTTAGCAAACTCGAATACTAAAAAATATTTATTTATTGTTAAATGAACTACTGAATCGAATATTACTGAATAGTAATTCGAACAATTATCGAACTATTTGAGAATTATTTGGTTCATTTCCACCCCTAAACGTGTTAGCAATTTCCATAATTTGGTGGACTACTTTTAAAATATTAAAGATTTGAGGGACTAATATTAAAATAACCCTTAATTTTCTATGGGGGCCACTCATTGGCAATAGGATAATTAGTCACTAATGTGCATTGGTGATGGGCACTGACCCGTTGGCGACGGTTTTATTCCATCACCAATGCACATTGGTGACGGGTCAATGCCTGTCGCTAATACTTATTGGCGACATATGCGGGTCGTCGTCAATGAGCATTGGTGACGGGAAAACATTGACGATGACTAACACTCATCGCCAATGCAAACATTGGCGACATGGTATTGACAACGGGACTGTTCTCGTCGCAAATGTTTGTATTGGCGACGGATTCAATACATGTCGCCAATACCCCGTCACCAATGCCCTCTTTTTTACTAGTGTGAGGCAGTAATTTGCAAATGTTTAAAGATTTGAGAATGAACATTTCAGGGACTAAGTTCAAAATGTTAAAAGATTTGAGGGGCTAGTTTTAAATTTGAGGTAGTAATTTGCAAAATGTTTAAAGATTTGAGGGACTATTTCAAAATTTGAACATTAGAGGGAGTAACTTCAAAATGTTTAAAAAGTTTAGGGACTAATTTTAAATTTGAGGTAGTAGTTTGCAATTTATTTAAAGACTTGAGGGAGTAATTTCAAAATATGAACATTTGAGGGAGTAACTTTAAAATGTTTAAACATTTGAGGGATAATTTAAAAGTTGAGGTAGTAATTTGCAAAATGTTTAAAGACTTGAGGGTGAGCATTTCAGGGACTAAGTTCAAAATATTAAAAGATTTGAGGGACTAATTTAAATTTGAGGTAGTAATTTGCAAAATGTTTAAAAATTTGAGGGACTACTTCTAAATTTTTATTAATTGGGGGACTAATATCGATATATGACTTGTTAGGGGACTTTTATGAAAAAGATTCCCCACTTCCGCGAGTCAAGATAAATTGGAGTTGTGAGAATTGGCTTGCGACGCGCCTCCTTGGAATTTGTTCGTAGTATTACCCTTCTGCACAGAGTTGGACGTGCACGCTTGTTGGTTTGTGTTGAAAATTTGGATGAGACCCAAACTTAGCCTGTTTTGTCAGGGCAAAGGCAAAGGCCCTAGGTCCAAGCCCCTTTCGGCCTTCACTGGTTTCCTTTTTTTTTCCCCTTTCTTTTTTTCTAAATAGCCCAGTCTAAAATCGAGAGTCATATTAAAATATTCTAACCATCCAGATCACATACGGTAAGTGATTTTCACTATTTGAACATGGTGCTTCACTTTCTTGTTATTTAGCTTATATTCTTTACTTTTCAAGGAGACTTCTATTCATTTATTTTGAGGTTGTCATTTTTACAATTGTTGGTTTAACAGTTATTAGCTATATTTTTTTTTCCCCTGAGAAATAAACAAATCTCGTAACTCATAAGTATTACTATAATCCAGATTGATGGAAATTTAAATAGATTTATTGGCGAGTAAATAGCTTCTAATAAGAAGTTAACTGGTATTTATGTTGTCAAATTTACCCGAAAATGGGCTTCTTAAGGGTTGTTTATAGGGCTCGGTCGAGTCAAATATATTGGGCTGGACTTGAAGAAGTTTATTAACCCAACAATGTAGGAATTTAGGAGTGGCGTGCAAATGGTTAGTTCAGTTGGTTTTGCCTATTTGTTGTTAAACTGAGCCGAACCAAATTATATTCAAAACCAAACGGTATCAAATCAAGTTGGTTCGGTGCGGCGTGGTTTGATTTGTTCTGTTTAGACATCGACATGTTAAGATAAAGCATTTTTAGCTAAAAGACAATACCCTTACTCCTTCAAACCTCTCGATCGGTGATCTTATATCCCAAGTTGAAGAGCAAACTCATCAAGTCAACTACTTTACAAACTAAAATGGAACCTTCATCCTTTAAAATGTATAAAAATATTAGTACGAATTATCTTTTCACCTACGAAGAGCATAAATTTTTAGCCAATTATATTGAGATCGGTCAGTTCAATTATTTCAATCTCAAAGATATCAAAACTAAATCTAACCGAAGTTTTTCTAAAACCAAACTAAATTCAACTGTCAATATTTGATCGATTCGGTCGGTTTATTCGGTTGGACCAGAATATTACGTAGGCTCAGCTTTGTAGAAAATTATGGAATCACGAGTCCGTGAGACTGCATCTGCACGTTGCCACATGGCGTTTACGTGATGTATGCTGTATGGGTCAGACATCGGATCTAGCTAATCCTATTTGGCACGCAAGTTAAGAGAGATGGAAACTTTTGGAGTTCCTCGCGCAAGACAAGAAACGAGCCAATGTGAATCTGTTCGGCCGGAAGTTACAACTTTTGCACATACGCCTCCTAAAGTTTCAAATTTTATTTCAAATAATATACATGCAAACAAGGATTTGGAGTATGACCCTCGTCGAACTTGAGGTTTTATGTACTTCAAAGTCACCATAATCTACCATGAGAACAATCCAGATTCAAAGTCCTATTTGACGCTTGTATAAAAATGTATGTTAAAAGTTTATTATGACGTATGGAAAGAAAATTTAACTTGTAGAGACATGTTAAAATATAAAATTATGCAATTTAACAGCTACTAAATTATTTTAAAGGTAAAATTCAATGCAATTAAAATAATTAATCCATTTTACAACAGCCATCTTTCCCTTTGTATCTATAAATTTCCCACAAACGCTACACGAACTCATTCCGCATCTTAAATATTGAGTGAGGATAAACATATAGTTAATCATGTTGGATTAATCACTGATCCAAAATGAATTATGACAAGACAACAAACCAAAAAACTAACGACATAAAAATTTGAAAGAACACGAGGGACTAAATAGCAATTTTTAATGATATGTGGGACTAATAAATAAAAGTGTCAACACCTCCTCTCCCGCGACCTTCATTTCTCCATCAATGGCGGATCCCGGTCCCCCTCAACCCACTCCTAACCCTAGCCCCCCACCAAAACGCAACCAAGACCGCGACTTTCTTCTCCACCTTGAATCCTACCTCGCTCACCGCGACGGCGTCGACAAGCTCCTCAAGATCTCCCGCTACACCGCCAAGCTCCTCCTCTCCTCCTCCTCCCTCCCCAAAACCCTAACCCCGAACCTCAAATCCTTCGATTCCAGCGTCGGCCTCAGCCGCAAAGCCTTCCGCCTCGGCAAATTCGTCCAGGATCTCAACTCCCTCCGCCTCTCAAACCCTAGTTCCCCCTCCGACCTCGCCCTCGTACTCCTCGCCTACGGCGGCGAGGGCGTCTACTACTTCATCGAACAGCTCGTCTGGCTGTCCAAAACCGGTCTCATTTCGCCCAATTACGCCAAAAAGTTCTCAAAGATCAGCGCTTGGGCTGAGCTGATTGGGTACGTGGGGAGCATTACGATGAAAGTTAGGGATTTGAGGGAGTTGAGGTTGAGATTGGAGCTGGTGAAGGCGGACGAGGAGAGGGGGAAGTTGGAGGAGAAGGTGATGATGAAGACGCTCTCGATTGTGCAGGATTTGGCTGACGCGGTGATGGCGGTCGCAGACGTGAGGGATGGGAAGGGAGCAATGACCGGGCCGACGCTGATGGCGTCTGCTGGGTTGGTGTCCGCAGTTATCAGCACGCATAAGAACTGGAAATCTTGTTGATGGGGAAGAGGTTTGGATTTCGATCAATAATGATATAGATTGTGGTCTTGTTTAGAATAAGGATTGTTACTTTCGAATGTTGTAATTTAAACAAACATGATCAGAATTGAAATTTTACAGAGCTGTCTACATTGCTAGAGTTTTCTGATGAGTAGTGATAAATAAACTAAAATCTTTAAACTACTACTTTCATGCTACCCGAAACAAAAGTGTAAGGTTCTTTATGACTCGCAAAATTTGTATAGCGGAAAACCCCGTGCTTTTGTTTGTAGTAGTGCAGAAGTAGTTTAGAGATCGTATCATTGTAGTCTAGTTATCACCACTATGTGAAGTGGTTCATAAGATCGGAGATGTCATTTTGACATAGTTTTCAGTATGATGTATAATTATTTTAGACAAAGCTATTTGCAGACTGAGTGAAGAAGTGGGTTTGAGGCATTGTTCCTGTTGATTGCTTATTCAGCATTGTTGCATAGTTTTCCACTTCTTTCAGTGAGGCCTCCGTCATTTTAGCTTAATGGCTGTTCTCATATAATCACTGTTTTCTCCTAAAATCAGCCCATCCATGAGTAGTATTGACTTCGATGTCATAATGTCTCAACTTTCTTGTTTGCTATGACCCAATAGTTACCTTTTTAATCTATGCAATCAAGGTTTTGCTTGTGAACTTTCTGTAGGGCTTGTTGTTCCTGTAATAATCAAGAACTAGACTACTAATGAACACTGTCATGTCATCAAGAAATATCTTGGAAACTAAAATTATAGGAGCGTGTATCTTTTGTAGGAAACAAAAACAGCAAAAGTGATCTATGCTGAAATCTAGAAAGTTCCTCAGTGCACTTAATAAACTTTAGTTCCAATGTTGAATTTGCTGCTATCCTTTCCTTCTCCCATCTTTTATTTTACCAGTATGTGGCATAGCATTGAATTCTCCATGTTAGTTAGCATAAAAACAGGCACGAGGCACAAGTTTGGGATTCATAATGTGAAACTTATCCATTCCAGAGTGCACTCTACAGTTTGATGAGCGGTCTCTTCTGAACATGTATGTTTACTTGGATAACGACCTTGAGCATCATAGTCAATTGATCTCAAGCTTTTAGTAACCCGTATAACCATTAACCAAGAGAATTAAGTCAAAATCAGGACAATATGAATCAGGCAGGTACAGGTCTTTATTGAACTTAAGCAGATAGGAAACCTAGGCCCCATTTGGAAGAAGAAATTAGGGGAGGCTTCATCTATAACTCCTCGGTAACCCTTCATTAACCTGTTGTTCGGTTAATTTGGGAAATTACAATATTCAAACTCACGTTTCGTACTGAGCATTTAACTTCAGCTAATGGCGGAATTGGCAACTAACACTTGAGCTCCCTCTTTGGCCAGATATTTTAGGTACTTCAGCACATAGTTGTTAACTCTTACAGCTAAGACGTTGACCTCCTCATTGGCAAATCATGTCTTTCAGGTCTAGTGCAGTGGGTGTTATACTTATTAGTTTCTATTCAACCCAAAAGAAATGGATTTCAAATATACTTGGTTTTTGAAGCTTGAGAAGAATGCTGGAGTCCTAAAATGTTGTCACTCCATTTTCCCCCCCTTCCACTGAGGTCGTATCCTTCTTACATGTAAAGCTAGCTTGAGTATCAATTTATCATCATCTTTATTATTGCTTTTCTAATTTATTTGAATTTTTTTCACTGACGTGCTCAACCTACTACACTATGTGTATAGACATCCGACTCCAGAGTCTCTGACCTATGATTATTTCATTAATAGCCAACCAATGTGATTGACTGAATTGGTTGGATATAATGTGAAGCATGGTCCCCGAAGGTTTATGAGAGGGTTTGCCGTTGCTCATATTTTGTAAGAGACAATTACTTATAAATCTGAGCATATTCAATCTTGTCAAGAATTACTTGGTGCTATGAGGGTTTGGTGTTGCTCATATTTCGTAAGTGACAATTACTTATAAGTCTGAGCATATTAGAGCTTGTCAAGAATTACTCAGTGCTATAATCATTGGAGGAACAGATCCACCACTTTAACCCCTGTTTCTAAGATGGATAATTTCGTGTCCTTGAAATTTATGCTGACAGATTGTGATGAAACAAGAAGGTTGAAGGGGGAAGGGGTTGTAAAATTGTTCTGGATTTGGTAATAATCGATGGTTTTAAGCGAGAGTTCAAGCGTAACTCCTCCATAATCCCTCATCAAATCTTTGGCAGTCCGGGTGAAAAATTTACAACTAATCCACTTTGTTGTCAGGTTTACTTACTCACTAAATTTAGCTAAGCCATTGGCGGAGTTACTAACTAAGCCTAGCACACCCTCTTCAGGGAAATATTTTGGATTCTTAAGCAGATAAAGAGATCGGGCTTCCATGTTGGAGGATCATCCACTTCATGTCTCTTTTTAAAGGTGTATTGCAGGTGGGTTTTAGTTTATATGAAAGCAAGAAGTATCTTCTTTTGTCCGAAAACAAATGGAACATCACATTTTTAAAAAGTCTTCAAAGCTCAACAAGAATGGTTGTGTGCTTGAAATGTTGTTGCTCATTGTTTTTCTTTTACTAAGGTGGCAGTCTCCCAAACATGTAAGGCTAACTTGATTATGTGCCATAATAACTATTGTCGTCTTTTTTTAATTTTGTTTAACTTTGTTACTTCACTGTGACGCCTATTCTCTTCATGATGTGTTCAGACTTCAGTCTGATTGATTATTGCATCAAAGACCTCCCAGAGTGTTCGACTGAGTCGGTCAGATACGTTGGCAGCATATTTTCGAAGGTTGTGTGTTTGAAATTTAAGCAAGCAGATAGTGATGAGATGAGAAGATCAAAGAAGAAAGTAATGATGAAAGGGCTATCAGTTTGATGGTTTTGGGTGCCATGGCTTGTTTGTGCAGCCGTGGTGGTATTTTCGATAATTAAGACCGAATGAGGGTCCTGTTCTACTCCATTTTGAGTCCTAGAGTGAACATGCGTAGTTAAAAAGTTATTTTATCCTGAACAAATAAAGACTCTGTTCTCTTTCTAGTTGTGTGTAATCAATCTAAAGTTTAACTACTTGGTTATATACTGAATGTAGTGATTGGGAGCTTCAAGCGGAAAATGGCCGAGAGAAGTTATGGTATGATGCCCGTGCTAAGCTCCATAGCTAAGGTGATCCCGAGCAATCGTATGAGGACTTGCACGAGTTTGTCTGTCGAGAGTGGGTGACGATTTGATCTTGAAAAGTAAGTACTCAGCTGAAAGGAGATCTCTAAAATCAAAGCCGTGCCCTTCGATAGAGGAAAGGGTTAATTACACAGAGACCCGCTATATCATTTTGTTGCGCGACTTCTGACAGATGGACCTCTTCGTCCTCGAACTAAACGTCATTAGAGATTTGTGGCAGCCGGCCCCTCTGAGATATTGCACCCCACCGCTATTTTCCTCCCTCTTCTGTTCCTTTTCGCACAATCCAATAGAGAGTAAACGTACGATGGCGGGGTTCAGTTCAGTTCGATGAGGTTCCAATATCAAATTTAATGTGTAATGAGTGGCACATTGCGACACACGGGTTTATATGCAGTTAAGCCTTCAGGAAACCGAAGGAGCCTTGCTTTATTTTTTTCGTGCAATTTTGTTCACCATGAATCTTTTTCTATTACCATTGCAGAGAGTTTTGGGGTGTGTGTGTGTGCGCGCTCACGCGTGGGTGGGGGTTGGGGGGGTGTGAAGTTTAGCTTCTGAAAATCACAATTGCACCAGAATAACTACTGTTTACTCATGAGATTTGAGTGCCTTTTGTAAGGCTTACAAACTGAACAACTGAACACTGCTAAAAAACAAGGACATGTTCTTCTACCATCACAACAAATGGCTAAGAAGACTCTAACAAACTTTGACTGACAAAACAACCCAAAAAGACTCTAACTAATCCCATATTAATAGGATGACTTATTCTTAACAAAATAACATAAAAGACTCAACAAATCCTCCCTTGAACTTAACTCTCAGCTGAGTTCAGTTCACAAACGTTCATTCCCAGTGCTTCTTTGAGTTTCTGATATGAAGCCAACTTCAGTGGCTTAGTCATTATATCTGCCAGCTGCTCCTCTGTACTGCAGTAAACTAACTTGATAACACCTTCTTTAGATAATTCTCTTAGAAAATGATACCTCACCCTGATGTGCTTGGATCGCCCGTGCATAACCGGATTCTTGGACAGTTTGATGGTGGAAGTATTATCACAGAACAGCACCATCTGTTCAGCTTGGTTGTGACCGATCTCCTTTAAGATTCTTTTCATCCAGATGGCTTGACAAGCACACGTAACAGCAGCTACATACTCTGCTTCAGTGGTCGAGAGAGTCACAATTGGTTGTTTTCGACAAGCACACGTAACAGCAGCTACATACTCTGCTTCAGTGGTCGAGAGAGTCACAATTGGTTGTTTTCAAGATGACCACGCCACAGCACCTCCACTCATTAAGAACACATAACCAGATGTGCTTCTGCTATCATCGATATCTCTTGCATAGTCACTGTCAGTATAAGCTATGAGATCATTTCTTTCGCCATGTTGATACCAAATCCCACAGTTCATTGTCCCCTTCAAGTACCGCATAACTCTCTTTGCCATTGCAAGATGAAGTTGAGTGGGATTCGCCATGAATCTCCTGATGAGACTTACTACAAACATTAAGTCAGGCCGCGTTGTAGTGAGGTACATTAAACTGCCTACCATCTGTTTGTAGAGAGTTGAATCGATCCTCACACCTTTTTCATCTCGATCAATACTCTGTCCAGGCACAATTGGGTTATTGACAGAATTGTAGGACCCCATTCCAAATCTATCAATTACCTCAGCTGCATACTTTCTTTGACAAATGAAGATTCCACCAGCCTTTTGCAACACTTCTATACCAAGAAAATGTCTCATTCTTCCCAAGTCATTCATATCAAACTCACTTTTCATAGCACACTTGAACTCTTTAAGCAGATCTTCATCATTGCTAGTAAACAGGAGATCATCCACATAAATACTGACTATTAGAATCTTGCCTTCCTTTTGCTTAACAAACAGAGTTTGTTCACTGGAGCTGCTCTTGAACCCTTGCTTGATGAAGTAGGATTCTATGCGACTGAATCAGGCTCTCGGTGCTTGTTTCAGTCCATATAGAGACTTGCGTAGCTTATACACCATATGCTCTTTCCCAGCTATTTCATAACCTTGGGGTTGTTCAACAAAGACATCTTCCTCTAATTCTCCATGTAAGAATGCTGATTTAACATCCAGCTGATAGAGTCTCCATCCTCTTTGCGCAGCCAAAGCAATAATCATTCTCACAGTGTCCATCCGTGCCACCGGAGCAAACACTTCAGTATAGTCTACTCCATATTGTTGTGAATAACCTTTCACAACAAGTCTAGCTTTGAATTTATCTACCTCCCCCAATTCATTGAGTTTGGTTTTATAAATCCATTTCACACCAATGGTTTCGGTACCAATGGATGGCTCCATCAACACCCATGTCTGATTCTTCTCAATTGACTTGATCTCTGCATCCATGGCCTGCCTCCACTTCTCGTCTTTGACTGCCTCTTCAAAACTCGTCGGATCAGAGATAACCATGAAAGCAAGATCATCAACATCAGTACTGTCAACTCCACTCAGATTCACCTCATCATTCTCTGCATCGGATAGACCTTCTCCTGTATCATAATCTACAGCCCATCGTGGTGGTTGTATGATTCTATTCATCCTTGATGTGCCTTCTTCATGTTGGGAAGCAGCAGCAGCTTCAGCCGGAGTGTGTGTGATTCTATTCATCCTTGATGTGCCTTCTTCATGTTGGGAAGCAGCAGCAGCTTCAGCCGGAGTGTGTGGTTCATCTGAACTTTCTGTATCTCCTCCCTCAAGAGCAGCACTATCAGTATTTTCTTTCCATTCAAGCTCAGTAACTTAACTTTCTGTATCTCCTCCCTCAAGAGCAGCACTATCAGTATTTTCTTTCCATTCAAGCTCAGTAACTTTATCAGCAGTATGGCTAGCATCCCAAACCCACGCCTTGTCTTCTTCAAATACCACATCTCGGCTAATGTGAATCTTTTTCTCAACTGGATCATACATCCTAAATGCTTTCGATTCACTGCTGTAGCCTAATAGAATGCACTTTACACTCTTGTCATCAAGCTTGGTTCTTTTTACATCAGGAATGTGGACATGCCCTATGCTCCCAAAAATCCGGAAGTGTTCCACTGATGGTTTTGCACCACTCCAAGCTTCTTCAGGCGTCATATCTTTCACAACCAAAGTAGGAGATCTATTGAGCACATAATTTGCCCACTGTACAGCTTCTGGCCAGAACACTTTTGGAATCCCTTTCTCTGTAAGAACAGCCCTTACCATGTTCATCATGGTTCTATTTTTCCGTTCAGCCACTCCATTTTGCTGTGGAGTATATGAGGTAGTCAGTTGCCTCTTAATTCCATGCGCATTGCAGAATTCCTTGAACTCTCTAGAGTTATACTCTCCACCTCTATCTGTTCTCAAGAATTTTATACACATTCCAGTTTCATTTTCCACAAAAGCTTTGAACAATTTGAAATGATAGAATGTCTCTGATTTTTCTGGAGCAAAGAAAATCCAACACTTCCTAGAAAAATCATCAATAAAGCTTATCAAGGACCTCTTCTGGCTGTTTGATGGAGGAGTGATTGGGCCACACAAGTCAGAGTGGATGAGTTGCAATTTTTATGTTGCTCTCCATGAACTTTGCTTTGGAAAGGGCATCCGATGTTGCTTGCTTTTCATACAAACTTCGCATGTAATTCTCCCTTGTCCTATCTCTGGCAGACCGGTAACCATGCCTTTGTTGTATAAAATAGCCAGGCCCTTGTAACTCAATTGCCCGTATCTTTGGTGCCACAGATCAGCTTTGTCAGAATTCCCAGCCTGAAGACATTTTTCTTCCTTTGTCTTGCTGCAAGTCTCTGTGAGTAAGACAGACATTCGGTTTCCACTCATTACAGACTCAGCAATTTTTCCTTTGGTGGGATGAAAGATGCTGCAAGTCTTGTGGACTCCTCCTTTGAACAACACATCCAATCCCCTTTCCTGAAGTTGCCCGACACTCAGCAGATTGTTCCTCAATTTAGGAACGTAATAAACATCCCTCATCATATAGCTAACTCCATTGAGCGTGATATTTACCACGCCTTTCCCATTGACAATCAGCTTGTGATTATCTCCAAGTTTGACAGCATGAGTAAAAGATGTGTCTAAACTCAAGAACATACCTCGATCACCACACATGTGGTTCGAGCATCCAGAATCAACAAACCAGGTACCATCTTTCTTAGTTCCTTGAAGCTCTACTTCTGCCATTAGAAGGACAGCATCCTCTTCCTCCTCTGTGTAGTTTGCTTCTTTCCAACTAGGACATTCAAACTGATAATGTCCTAGATTGTGACATTTATAGCACTCGATCAGTGCTTTGTTGACAGCGCGTCCTCTGCCCCTGCCTCGGCTACCTCTGTAACCCCCTCGACCTCTGCTTCTGACATTGAGTGCTTGTTCATCCTCTTCAGTGTTGATCTTTCTAAACTTCTGCTCATGAACAGCCAAAGAACTTTGCAACTCATCAATAGACATTTTCTCAGTATCTTTGGATTCCTCAATAGAAACCACAACATATGTGAATTTGTCTGTCAGCGTTCGGAGGATCTTCTCGACAATCTTTGAGTCTGGCATGGCTTCCCCATTGCTCCTCATTTTGTTTGAGACTGTCATTACTCGTGCAAAGTAATCCACAATCTTCTCATCTGTCTTCATGGCCAGAACCTCAAATTCCCTCCTGAGAGTGTTGAGTAGAGATCTCTTCACTCTCTCATTTCCTCCGAACTTCCTTTTCATTGAATCCCAAACAATCTTGGATGTTTTTCGATCCAAGATTTGTTCGAACACTGTCCGATCAATCGCCTGGAACAGGTAATGCTTTACCTGATGATCTTTCATCTTGAGATCCTCTAGAACTCTCCTTTGTGCAGCAGTTTGCTCGACTCCTTCTGCTGGTTCATTGTAGCCGTCGGCTACCAGATTCTATAAGCCCTTCGCTCACAAAAGATTCTCCATCAATTCACTCCAATGATCGTAGTGACCATCAAAGTGCGGAATTTTTGTGAGGGATTTCTCGTCGTTCATGATTTCTCTCTTGAGTTACTCTGGCTCTGATACCAAATGTGAAGTTTAGCTTCTGAAAATCACAATTGCACCAGAATAACTATTGTTTACTCATGAGATTTGAGTGCCTTTTGTAAGGCTTACAAACTGAACAACTGAACACTACTAAAAAAGAAGGACACGATCTTCTACCATCACAACAAATGGCTAAGAAGACTCTAACAAACTTTGACTGACAAAACAACCCAAAAAGACTCTAACTAATCCCATATTAATAGGATGACTTATTCTTAACAAAATAACATAAAAGACTCAACGGGGGGGGTTAGAGATCCTCTTCGAAGGGGATGACATAACAAGAAATGTTTCCTTTGGCGTTGCCAATCTTTAACCTTCATGC